AAGCTGAATAAGCGCCGTGAGGTCACGCGCCGTTTGTACTCTGAAGAATGCGAGGACATCAAGAATAAGGTTGAAAGGCGTTACCAGAAGGCAAAGGCAAAGCATGCAAAAGCACGTTTACGCCAGAAGTCAGGGAAGATGCAAAAAATTGACGACGCAACCAAGATTAAGTACGTACTTCTGTCGTTGATTACATGGTCGTATCTGAAGCGCATTTAAAAACTGCAGGGCCATCCGTGAGCTCGGTCCTATGCTTGATCGGATCCTTAAATACCTTGCACATGCCACGGGTGGGTGGAAGTTCACAATCCTTATGGGAGGGAAGGATCCTAGCACTGGAGAGGTGTCTGTGTTCAAGTGAGTGATGCGTGATAGTTGATGAGGAAGTGCGCTTACCTAATATTATGAAGCTATCATGTTGGCGAACTTGAGAGTGGGGCACAATTTGATCAGACTTACGCCAAATTTGATGTGGTGCAGGCTGCATTCCTAGCCTTCGTCAAAGACGCTCTCGGTACGTCCATATAAGTGTCAGTTCGAAAGCATGCACTGACCTTTTCACTAGCATTTGAGTCGACACTGCCCCAAGACTCAGATGCTGAGGATGCAGAAGATTCATCATCAGACTCGCATGATGGTTCAGATGAGGAGTGGGCGACAACGAGCGGCAGTGAGCATAGTGAGGAGGGGGCGACAACGAGTGGCAGTGAGCATGGTGATCATCGTGTGGAAGAAGAGGACTTGGATGATCTCCTACCAAACAGCGCCCATCGAATCAACACTGCGGGCATGTACCGGATGACTCCTCAGTCTGAGTCATCCATCGACGATTTTGGCGCCGCCATAGCATCAACTGATGCATTACTTCCATGTGCGCAAATCTTGGGTGATGCATCATCTGGTTCTCAGCTCCCGAGTGATTCCCACTTGGCTTCGTTCAACAACCCTCCCAACCTACCCGTGTTTGACCACGAAGTGTTTACTGCTCTCATCAATGACCCAGATTTCAACATCAGCATTCTGGAAGCTCTCCCCGAAGCCCCCCCCCCTTCAATCCAACCCATATCCTGAAGTCTTTATCCCTCCAGCTCCTCGCACTGATGACATATCATCTACACAATATCCTGAAGTCTTTATCCCTCCGGCTCCTCGCGCTGATGATACATCATCTAACCAATATTCCCAAGTCATTATCCCTCCGGCTCCTCACGCCCATGATGCATCATCTACTCAATATCCCGAAGTTGTTATCCCTCCGGCTCCTCCCGCTGATGATGCATCATTTGCCCAATATTCGCAAGTCGTTATCCCTCCGGCTCCTGATACATCATCTGCCCAATATTCGCAAGTCATTATCCCTCCGGCTCCTCCCGCTGATGATGCATCATCTGCCCAATATTCTCAAGTCGTAATCCCTCCGGCTCCTCGTGCCGATGTTGAAAATATGGGAACACCCAATGAATCTGATGGTGCTGGCACTGCACCAACTTCATCAGTCCAAGCTGGAGCTGAGCGTCGTCGTGGAAGGCGCACACAACAACGTTCACAACTGACCGTGCCCACTTCCTCGGCAGATGAAATCCAACCACTCCCAGATGGGCATCGCCGAGTGCGCAAACCCTTCAATGCAAGAGAACGTGACAACGATATTGGCGGGCCAACGAAGTAAGTCGGTCCTTTATGTGCTTCAAGTTGCATCGCACTGATGACTACATCCTAGGCGCGCTCGGCATACATAATCAGTAAAATAGTGTCTCATCTACATATCTTGTTGCAAGTATCCATGTCAGTAATAGTGATTAAATTGAATGTTTCTTGTTGTACAATGATCGAGAACGAAATGTAAATATGCGCTATCATATTGTTCAGAATTTGTTCTGCATGCCCGGTGCAAGCAGACGTACAGGAAGACGCTCAGTTCGAAGTTCATACATTCAAGGCGCAGCGGTGTTTCAGTTCTGCGGGATAAATTCATCCTTACATACATATTTTAGAAAGGGAGCTGGACTTGTGATAAAATTTTGAAAAATGACGTCATGGACGTATTTGACTTGAGCGCAAGCTTCAGTGAAGACTGTGGAAAGGTAAGAGGTCTCCCAAAAACGAGTTAGATAGCCGGATGGCCAGACGGATGCCTGGATCTAGTGTAGGTAAGCAAGGTACAGACAACGGAAGCAAGGTACCGGGTATAATGCCAGCGAACGGATGCTGGGTGCAGCCCAATTTGGTGCGGGATGGTGATGCATCAGTGATGCATCACATTCCCAATAGGGTTGAGGTTGATGCATTGGGATCCACCATGATCCACCACTGCTCGCTATCATAGTTGATGCATCATCAAAATCTGCTAGTTAGCCTGTTTTGATGCATCATTATGACAGTATAGCCTGGCAGTCCTTGTTAAGGGTAGTCTATTGATCGTCTCATGACATTTTTTGGTTAAGATCCTAGTAAGTTATACGCGAAATACTAGAAAGGTGGAGTGTTCAAGAAAGTTCAGGCACACAACTAATATTGCTTATTGCAGCTGTCCCTAGGAATAAATATAAATTCTCCTTAGCTGCCTCGGTCAGTGAATTTGTTTGCTAAGTAAATTATGGAAAAAGATGGAAAAAATGGGACTACGTGATTTGCTAATGTCATTTTCAGTGTCCTTAAAATTTTGACAATGAATTTTATACCCTTACATTCTCGTGGGTAAAATTCAATGTCCCCAGTTGTCAATGAATGCAAGTAACCAGAGATTAAGTGACACTGGGAGTGAATTCAACACATTCATTGCCACTGTCACTTAATTTAATGGTTTTTACTTCCCACAGTGGAGGCAGGCAACTCACACACACCAATCAACGGATGCAGGACAAAATCCTCGCTTGAGTAGATATGTGATCCATACAGGACTTCGAGTGACTTTAATAAGGGCTCACTCCGCCTTGCAAGAATGATCACAGCCTTACGGCGTCAAGTTGAGGATTAAGTTTATGTCGGGCTTGGTTGTTTTTTCCCTCGGTGATAAGGATCGAAAGGTCCGCTGGTTGATTTTGACGCGCTGACTAAGACTCAGCACGGTGTCCTTCGTTCCGCTCCTTAATTAACGCGAACACCCGAACTGCTCCTTGTTTCGTACTATTCATCGGAGTCAGTGTGTTGACTTGCAGAACAAACGCTGGGCTCGGCAGCATTCCCATCTAGTCCTGGTCGCTAAATCACAAAATGAAGTTTGGTAGGAAGATCACAGTGCGTCATTTTTGCGTATGGTGAAGTGCGTGAAACGGACCTCAGTGCTCGGCAGACTAACCTTTACGATGAATGGAGGCCCTTCTACATCGACTATAATTTGTTGAAGCGTGAACTCAAGGTGACTCCCTCTCCAAACTGCCCGACCCACCCTCATCCTCATCCGCTCTACCTGCGCAGGCTCGCACCACCTCCCACAACTGGGACGACAAAGATGAACGTGATTTCACCGCCATGCTCAAAAAGGAGCTGGATAAAGTTCATGATTTCCAGAAACAAAAGGTAAACCATCACAACTCAGTTCATTTTTCTGGTTGAGTTGAAGCTATTCAGACTGCCGAGTTGTCTCGCCGTATACGGGATGCCGAAAAGGATGTCCAAAAACTCGTCGCTCAAGAATCTTCTCAGTCTGCTTCTGAGCCGTCCCCCACCCACTCCTCTGACCCAGAATCTCAACAAGCACGACCTTCTGACTACGGACCCGATGAGGGTTCCGATGACGATGACGATGACATGGACGATAACCAATCTGATGCTTCACTCGAAGACCTCTTTCACGGCCTTCAAGAAGAAGTAGCCACCCTTGTTGCAGATGTTCACGACTTGGCACTGTACACTAAGTTGAATATCACCGGTTTCCTCAAAATCTTAAAGGTACATCCATTCATGTCTATTGCCTTATGTCAACTTACCGTTCATTTCCATAGAAACACGATGTACGTACTTTGAATTTCCTCTTGTATTATCCTTCATGACCACCCTCAGAAAATAACGAACCTTCCACTCAAACCTACGTTTATTCAAGACTATCTTGAGGAAAGACCTTTTTATAAATACAATTGGGACGCCTTGATCGTCAAATTATCTAAGCTCTATGACCTGGTCCGCACCCGCGGTCACCCCGTACAGGGCGATTCAAGCGCAGGCGGGAACCAAAGCGCCTTTGTGCGTCAAACCACCAAGTATTGGGTAATTATTGAAGTTGTTCCTCTCAAAATTTATTTTTGTTAACAAGGGAATTCCAGGTGCATCCAGATAACCTGGTACCGTTGAAGTTGGCCGTTTTGCGGCATCTTCCTGTTCTTGGTTGGTGATAATACATTGTCAGTATTTTAGTTGGTTCATCTCCTCTTACAGTGTTCAATGCCGACAAGGAATTCGAGCAGAAGGACGCTGGTACGTCTTTGATATTTAAATCTAAAAAGATGTGATGTCGACGCGTGTTTCAGCCATTACTTCAATCTATTTTGACAATGAAGATCTTGAACTGTACCTCGGTCGACTTGAGAAGACAGAGGGTGCCGAAGCTATCCGTCTCCGGTGGTACGGCGACACAGACGTGAAAACTGTCAGTGTACCTGGTTTGGTTTGTAAATATCACACTCAACGTCCTCCTTCAGATCTTTGTAGAGCGCAAGACGCACAGAGAAGATTGGACGGGTGAAAAGTCTGTCAAGGCGCGTTTCCCGATCAAAGAACATCTCGTGAACGCTTTTCTGCGTGGAGAATACACCATGGACGAGGAACTCCAGGCTCTAGTCGACAAAGGCAAGAAGACCCAAGCTGAAGTCGACTCCATGATCCAGCTTGCGAGTGAGGTTCAGTATCGTATTCTTACGAAGCAGCTGCTTCCAGGTACGTAAGCACGCCTGCATCTGACTTCTTCGCTCATGAATATCCTAGTCATGAGGACGTTTTATAACCGGACTGCGTTCCAGCTCCCAGGAGATCCCCGTGTACGGATATCGCTTGATACAGAACTCACCATGGTTCGCGAAGACAACTGGGACGGACAGACGCGTACTGGCAATAACTGGCGGCGAAGTGACATTGGCATTGATCATCCTTTTGATCAGGTGCCAGCGGAGGATAAGGAGCTTTTCAAGTGCGTTTCCATGATCGACCTGATTCTATTATAGCATGTTCACGTCGACAAAGGTATGGCGTTCTAGAAGTCAAACTTCAGACTCAGTTCGGACAAGAGCCTCCAAAGTGGGTCACGGATCTCGTCCAGTCCCATCTCGTCGAAGCTGTTCCCAAGTTCAGGTATGACCCCCCACAAGAAATGACGTACCATGCCACTTACGGACTGCCGCTAGTAAATTCATCCACGGCTGCGCTACCCTACTGCCTAATCGTGTAGATCTCGTGCCATTCTGGCTGCCCCAAAGTGAGTCAGAAGAACTTGCTTCGTGTCATGCTTACCCAATATTGTCATCCCCAGTGGACACGGATATCCTCAAGCCCAATACGGGTTACCTCACAGTTGAGCGCCCTACAAAGAACACCCCTGATCTGCAGTCTGGGATCCTCTCGCCCATCGAGCCCGAGCACTCCTATGTTGAGCCCGTCTCGGAGGGCGAAGAAGATGAAGAGATGGACTTGACACCTGCTAGAGATGAAGACCGGCGCACGGGGTTGCCGCATGAGGACGTTGCGGCTGCTATCGCATTCCGTGAAAAGTCCCTGAAGGAACGCGATCCGGCGTCTCAGTCCAGCACTGGTGGCAGCGTTCCCGATGAGGTTTACGATGAGCGTACACCATTGTTGAAGATGCCACGACCGCCGATGGTGGAGAGGACCGTTTCGATCGACCCGCTTGCTCCGTCTTCTGCATTTGATGAGCGTCTGCGCGAGCGTTTGCAGGCGAATAAAAATTTGCCGCCGCGTGCTCAAGACGGTGAGGTGCGGGAAGCCGCAGGTCTAGATGAGGAGAACCTGCGGGAGGAAGAGCGTTTACTGGTGAGAGACTGGACTGCACCATCTGGCAAGCGGATCGCGGTTCCTGTTCGTATCGAGCCCAAGGTGTATTTTGCAAACGAGCGGACGTTCTTGGTAGGACTTTTCCGTTAGATGGTCGAGTTCGCCTGCTGATCTTGATCGTACCAGAAATGGCTGAGCTTTGCAGTGCTCATCGGATCTATCGCAACGACGTTGTTAAACTTTGTGCCTGCGGATGATCCGCGGGGCCTGATCAGCGCTGCGCTATTCACGCTAGCTGCGCTGCTCGCCATCGCCTACTCAGCTATCATCTTCGTGTATCGGGCACTCCGTCTGCGTGCGCGATCGGCGGAAGGGCTTTATTATGACAAGTACGGCCCCACCATCCTTTGCTTTGTGCTATTGGCTGCACTGGGGACTAACATTGGGTTGAGGGTGGCGGATATGTGATGACGTGGGGATGCGTTGTATTTTTGAGCCTTGGACATAGCGTTGACAGCTGACAGCTGATAGCCGATGTCTTGGAGAGAAATTATTTTATTTCTTTTTCAAGGTGACTACAAAGAGACTAGCCGATCATTGCAATTCATTTTCTTTTTGTCGGGGGTTCAAGTTCTTGCTGATCAGCGAACGCCTGATGAGGCTCGATGATGATTCCAGGTGATTCCAAGAAATTCCTGAGGGATTTGATGGAGGCACATGTCATTGTTATGGACCAATGAGGTATTTGCGCGATTTGATGGATGTGGAGTCGGAGAGATATCTTGATCAGGAAGGAAGGTGAGCGAAAAAATACTCAATCAGTGACCACTGACTCGGTTTCTAAGAATTGAGCGGTAACAAGACCATACACAAGAAATCTATATAAGAGTCTCACGTCGTCGCTGAGCATACAACCAAACTTAAAGACCAACAACATCTATTACAATATGTACACCGTGGGTCTTGCTTCTCGCGTCGCGTTTTGTTATCTTATCTTAATCTTCTTCGTTCACAGATCGCTGAAGTCCCTGTCTCTAACAACAACTGTGGCTCGACCAGCTGCGGATGCGGCACCTCGTAAGTCGCACCCTCTTTGTACGGAGTCTCAGTCTGATTCATGATGTCGTGTGCAGGTGCCAATGCAAGCCCGGAGAATGCAAGTGTTAAACGTGGGGCAACCGGACTCATGAATGGTCTCGCCGTCCATAATTTCTTCTTGGTGTTTGTACATCGGAGTCGGCGTATGATTATAGGCTAGTGTTGTACGAATGGTCATCGAGGAACAGTGCAATATGAACGTTTAATTTGCAATATGGTGGTGGTGCAAAGCGCTCTCAAGTTGCAGTGAGAAGCTGCGCGCTTTGTGGTAAAAGTCGTCGAAGAGAGAACTGGTGACTGAGTTTGAATTTGAGTGGGCTAGTCTCACGAGTCATAAACAGACGGGCTGAAACTTTAATTTCACTGTTAACGTAGTACTTCACCTTACTTCCCAAAGTATCGTCGGGAAGTTGTACTGTCGTCTGGACGATGCTAGTGTCTGATGACGGAACAACTTCAACTGATGCCTATTGCAATTGTGGCGCCGCAGCTTGCACTTGATCAAGCACTAGTTCGAATCCACGGCCTGTTGGACCCAGCTCGTCAGTCTCAGCAGCGTCCAGCTTGAATGCCATCGGACGAGAACCCTCTACCCCATCAAGCAAGTGACTTGTCGATGTTGTATATGAAACGAGACTGTACAATTCGAAATTTCGAATAATGTAAACTCGGGTTTCTGACTCAGCGCTCAGCCATCATTCAATGGAACGGCTGTACGGCCGCAATACTAGTCTTTTCTGTCATATACCCTCCAGATCTTATGTATGTGTTCCCCTATAGCTAGGGATGGGCGCCGTCACTATTCACAGGATATTAACACCTTTTTATCAACTTCCAGATCAATTGGGATTGATCATCAATTGCGCTATGCATCGGTTCTAGTGTGTTCTGCGTCAGATTCTACGCTTACCATTTTTCCGCATGCTTATGATATGATAACCCGATCATCGAACTATAGAGCAAAGGTACGTATTAGGCAGCAGATGCTGAGGACAAGGAGCGCGGAGGCTAACTATTGATGGGTATTCTTGAGGGGTTGGGCAGGTGAGTTAGTTACTTGGCTTCGTTTTGACATTTTTCACGTCTGACTTTGTGGCGACACGCCGACATAGGGTGGCATTGGTCAAACCTCGAAGGAGCTGGGCCCGGTCCAGCAGGGCGGAGAAAATGTCCATCGAAAATTACTAGGATGCCGGATAAGTTAGAGATGTACGTATCTTATAATTCATTAAGTATAACTCAATGCTTTACGCTGTCGTGCTAGCACAATGAGTTGTGTTCAAGATTTAGCTCTCTTTAGCTAGACACTTCTCTGGATATCGATGTTGCAGTGCATAGCGGCCTGTGTGATTAAGTTCGGAGCCTCCAACTCAGTCACAAGGGCTCGCACAATTTCGGGTTTTTCCTGGTAAGTGCAGTGTATTTGCATTATGTCAATATCCTTATAGATCCTGATGGTACGACGACCGATGCAGATAGCCAGAAGGCGTGCATAAGGCGAGTCGTAAGCCAGATCTTATATGGCATTCAAAAATATTACATGCGTCCTGCAGACGCCTTTGCAGCTTCACAACCGACATCATTCAATCAAGAGACTCTGGATCATTCCTTTCTACTTGATCTCATCCAAAAATACTTCCTTCGGTCATTTAATGCAGGAACGGGTATCGCCCCATGTCTACCAACTCTTTGCTGGGCGGTGGTACATATAATACGAACATCATCTTCATACATCCACCAAAATCGCCACTCCTTCAGACCCATCCTCTAGCATTATGACTATAGTCTCAAACGATCCCAGTTTCTGGCCGGCCATTGATGCGTGGCGTATTTCCAGCTATTTTATAGGCTCGTGGAGAGCCAGTCGGACAATGACAATGATACTTAATCTAACGCTTCGCAGTTGCCGCCTCTGCTGGGGTCACGTACGATTGGGGTGAGCAAGATCATTTCAAGCAAGAATGGCTCATCTTCTTATGGTTTCTGCAGCCCTGACTATCGGACAAGAGGTAGGTTGATGCCATTGTCGGAGCACCCAACTCACTCACAATGGTTTATATAGATTGAACTCGTCTGGGTGAGCAGAGTCACACGTCTTCAGAACAACATCAAAATGCAATGAATTCGCGGCAGAGGCAACGCTGGTCACTCATGACCTTGGTGTATCTGAGTGTACGTAGTTTGTGTTGTAAGCGTGTCTGGCAAGTCGGGTTAACTTTAAAATATTCTAGGTGCGCTATCTTGGAATATCATATGCTGTGTATGTTTGGAATGCAAACCAATTAGCACTGCACTAATCAACGATCTCCCACAATCAGCCTCCAGATTCTGAGTATGTCTCATATTGACCGTGTTTATTTCTTCTGATCGGCAGCAACAGTAAATGTTCCGACAATACCGCTGACTGATTCAGTGAGTATTCTGAACCAATGCTTGCCACTTCCGTCTTAATAAACTGCACTCCATCTAGGGGTGAGTCTGATTCTCGACCAGCTGGTGCAATATAATGACTGCCACAGCTGTGAGTTTCTTTTGAGTGCGGGATTCTCCAAGGCTGATCACCACCTGGACGTGTCAGGCCTTATTGCAGGCATCACACTAGATTGGGTGAATATCGTCGCGAATGCAATGCTGCGCGGTGAGCTGCATAGTTGCAATGTGTCAGTGATATTGACCTGACAGAACATCGCTCAAGTCATCATACTCACTCGGTTACACGCCATGTATCAACGATCCAGAAAGGTCCTAATATTTCTTGTTGTAATACTGCTGGCTGTCAACGTCACCGACGGAGTGATCAGCGCCATAACAACAACGGAGACTTCAGCGGGTAAGCTTGATTATAAATGAAAGACTTGCATGCACCAGTCTCATTGATGAATACCAGAGGAGTTCGTTCTCTCTGGCACCTACCAGTGCACTGTTTACTACGAAGAAGATTACCAACGTTCTTCCGTTACTTGGATACTCGGCATTGTATGGGAGGTCATCGCACTATGTCTCGCAATCTGGATTGCTGTAAAACACTTCCGTGAATTGCAACGACAGCCGGCAGGAGGGATTATTGAGGACTTATTCACGGTGTTGATAAAATCTCACGTGGTTTACTTTGCGAGGTAAGCTCACAATCCCAATTCGGTCCCCTTCTTCCGCTGAATTTCTGCACCACTTAGCTTTCTTGCTGTTTCTTGCTTAATCATCGGCGGAGACTTGTCTCCGATGTTATCAGGGGTATGCCATTCTGTTATTGACCTCTGCATGCAACAGTTCATCATTTCTACAGAACCCATATTCCCTGGGATCCCAGATTTATGGTGGTTTGCTTCAAATTTTCTTGGTCGTGCAGATGTTTGTGCTGGGACCACGCCTGATACTTAGCGTTCGAGAATATAACGCCAAGCTCGTGACCGACTCCGACGCAGCAACCGCCATGACTTCAATTGCTTTCCAAGAACGTGTGCATGTGTCGACTAGCAGCAGCGTGTAGGACGGGAAATGCTCGAGGTGATTACCATTGGTAGGGTACCCTTGGTCAGGTGCTATCTATGTGAGGAGCGGGAAAGGTTTCTTTTGGTTCCAAATTTCGCCGCCGTACTTGTTTATGTAAGTTAGTTGTTTTGTGTAGAACATCTCATAATTTTGCTTCTTCAATGACCTTCAATGATAGTATATATTAAGGTGTAGTTACATGTACAGCAGATTGGGTTCATAGGCTTCCGTGGCAAGATTATGCATTTTAACGATACTTGCCATCGCATTGCCTTTCTACTCCTCATATTACCTCCATTCTACGTCTATCCTAATGTTCTTCGTTCACAGGTTGCTGAAGTCCCTGTCTCTAACAACAACTGTGGCTCGAGCAGCTGCGGATGCGGCGCCTCATAAGTCGCACCCTCTTTGTACAGAGTCTCGGTCTGATAGACGTCGTGTGCAGGTGCCATGCAAGCCCGGAGAGTGCAAATGTTAAACGTTGAATGGCGGGCAACCAGACTCTTGAATGGTCTCGCCGTGTATAATTTTTTCTTGGTGTTTGTACATCGGAATCGGCGTATGACTATAGGAGTGTTGTACGAATGGTCGTCGAGGAGAAGTGCAATATGAACATTTAATTTGCAGGATTGTGGTGGTGCAAAGCTCAAGTTGCAATGAGGAGTCGCGTGCTCCCACGAAGAGGTCATAGCCACTGCGCGCGAAGAAGCCTACATTGACTGGTGGTTCTCCGCATCGCCTTCGTAAAGGGCCGTCATGTAAAAACCGCTGTGCAGTTGCACAAGCATCCTGGATCAAGTCTGCCCTCGTCCTATTAGAAAGTAAGAGCGTTGAATCACTCTCAACCTTGACATTCCAACAAAACGTGGATGCTGGTTGATCGCTGCAGAATGTCACAAAACTGTTTGGCAAAGGACAGGCTGAGGGATTCATCAGCGCCTGAGACATGATGAGCAGGCGTTGTAGGGTGGGGCGAACTTCTGCTGGTGCCAGATGAACACTCTTAGTACTATACGAGTCAGATATCAGAACTCACACGATTGTGATGCGCTCCAAGTTGGAAAGAATGAATCTTAGATATACATGGACATCGTTATAGCTTTGCCACCACCCCCTCCGCTTCTCCTCCTCTAGCCTCTTGTGCTCGACGCTTTGCTTGAAACTCTGCAACTGCTTTGAGCCTTCCTTCCCGGCCTGGTCCACTCGTTCAACAACAGTCTTCGCATCTTCAAGCGAGGCATGTGAGGACTAAGCGATGAAGGCACCAGGCCACCGGACTTCATCTTCTTGCGCGATCGAACGACAAATGATGCGGTCTTTTCTCCGCGCGTGCATGGAGGGATTACAACACTGAAGGAAGGGAGTGCCTTGTACCTTCATTTTTTTTTTTTTTGCAGATCCGCGCATCTTTTGCACCTTTTGACGTCTATCTTGACGGATAAATTTGTGCGCCGACAGTGTCATAGTAGAATGGAGAAAATGAATATCAATAATGGTAGAGAATCTTACCTGATGCCTGCCATAAGCACTAGGTTGGTCAAGAACTTGAACAAGTTACACGTCATACGCCCGGCCTCAACCTTTCGTTATCCTCAGTCTAGCCCGACAGTGCAAGCCTTTCGTTATTATCCTCGGTCTAGCCCGACAGTAACGTTCAAATTAATTCATAATCAAGATATTAGTCGTTTGTTGAGTAAGAATTGTTCCAACTCACGGGTAACTTACTCACTGGCAGGGTCCGAAAAGGAACGGAGCTGCCATTCTGCTATGACACTGTCGGCGCACACCCGTCAAGATCTATCCGAGGACGTCAAAATTAAAGGTGCAGATGATGCGCCATCTGCAAATATTTGAAGGTACAAGGCACTCCCTTCCTTCAGTGTTGTAATCCCTCCATGCACGCGCGGAGAAAAGACCGCATCATTTGTTGTTCGATCGCGCAAGAAGATGAAGTCCGGTGGCCTGGTGCCTTCATCGCTTAGTCCTCACATGTCGCCGCTGTAGATGTGCCTCCACGATGTGCTCGTGGTATAAAGTCTGCCCATCATGAACTGTAAACTGCAGTTTTCATTCTCCAACTATCTACCCCGAGTATTCACAGACTCACACACCATACAATATGTCGACCTTCTTCCCCTCCTCGCAGATGATTGCCCCCGGCGAGATATCTTTTGCCTCAGACCGTGCAATCAAAGACTTCCAAGGTAAATATCATATTCTCGAGTACCTCAGCTCAACGCTCATTCCGCGGTTTCCTAGCTGTTAGTCGTGAGTACGCTGGCCAGCAGACGGACCACCACCCTAATTTTTTGCAGAGCACTTGGATCACTTCAAAGCTCATGTCGAAAGTGTGAAGCTCGACGACGGACAAGTCCTCTACACGCACCAGATGGTGACTAAGGCTGACAAGGGCATCATAAACAAGAAAGTCAGGATCAGCCTTGTTGAGGTCAGTCCATGTTGCTGGTGGTATTCGTTCACCCTTTTGAACGGTGTCCACACCCTCTACCCTAGGCCGACATCACCCTCAACACGTCCTCCCGCAGTCTGGCGTTTCATGTTTTTATCGATGCCCCTATCATTGGACACATCCTCCTCGTGTCGGCCATAATTCCTCTCAAGGTCGACGACCACGTGAAACTTGATTTCGATGGAGCGGCCAAAAGCCTTGTGTCTGGACACGCGAGCGTCACAATTGATGCAAACAACAACGTTATCCTGACCTGGGACTTCGTGGCTCTCAAAGTGGAGTCAAAGGGTTCCCACATCATCCTCCACTTCTAAACTTCGAGGTATTCCATTTCGCGGCTTCATTCCCGTGCAATTACTTAATTTATTCTACCCTGTAGATCTGGCATGTAACCTGTGGAATCTCAAAGAAGGTTCCTTGTTGAAGCCTGATGGGTGTGAAGGATGCGTTTTCGCAGTAGCGCTGTTTTGAATTTATGCACGCTGAATTGACTTTATTCGGGACTCTACCGTTTAATTTTGACAATAGTGATCTTAGTTATCTGGTTAATTCTGCTGAAGATTAAACAATGATCAGGTCTACCAGGTAACCAAGAGCTCTCAATCCTTTCGACGTGGCTAAGATTCACTTCTGCGGATGGTGAATAAATTCACCGAGCGCAATCCACAAGTAGTATCTTCCAAGCAGAATACTCAGAGCGGACTTGCTGGGCGACGATGATAGCAGTGAATTTTTATCGCCTACAACAGTAACTGGTTGCTACGAGAAGTCGGTCGCTGTTTAGTTTAATCAATGATCATGTTTCAGGTCACACCATCTGACTACCTTTGACGAGGAATGCCATGATATCCAACTACTGCACACAACCGTGCAACCACCAGTATCCAATTTTGCTCAAATCATACAACAAGTCAGCCAATCATAATAATACATACATAGACAATAAACAGTCGTTGCTTCAGTTATAATGCTTCACCACAATACCCTCGATGACCTCTTCCTTGACATTATGTTCCGCTCCCTTCTTAAGATCAGACCTCCCATACGACGTCGTCCTTCCCTTCCTCTAGGTCTCGCACGACGGAGTATCCTCATTAGCGCACTGCCGCTCAATTCCAACGCGCTGCAACACCGGGCTCTCAGCACACGGCAACAAACGAACGTCATTGTCCGGCATCGCAAAATAGTATGCACCCAAACGATCGTAGTGGTGTTGGTCCTCGGGTGGCTGGATGACGCGGTGGATCGTGGGCTTGTAGTATCCATTTGTGAGGAAAGTCATCATGTCGCCCGTGTTGATGACCTTGTGACGGAACATCAGTTTGCGCTTGTTATTCAAGTTCTCAAGACAGACGTACCAAACCGTTGTCGATGTGACGGACGCCCAATATCGAATGCCAGAGCAGAAGTATCGAACAGCCCCCAGATCTGCTCTTCCAGAGTGCGTGAAATTGCCTCGCGGAAGCGAAGCATGAAGACAGGCTTGAAGGATCTGAAGATAGGCTTAGTGAAGTGTCATTCTTCTGTAATCATTGTAACACCATGAATTTTGAATGCATTAATGGTTTCAAATGACGAGCACGTGCCCCACAAAAAAGACAAGGGTAGCGGGCACTGCCACGGATGTGGCCTTTCACGACTTATGTGCAATTGTGGTGGTGCACAGCGCTCTCAAGTTGCAGTGAGAAGTCGTCGAAGAGAGAACTGGTGACTGAGTTTGAATTTGGGTGGGCTAGTCTCACGAGTCATAAACAGTGTGCTGTCGTCTACAACTTCAACCGATATCATTGCAATTGTGGCGCTGCAGCTTGCAAAGACCAAGCACTAGTTCAAATCAAGTTCGAATCCACGGCCTGTTGGACCCAGCTCGTCAGTCTCAGTAGCGTCCAGCTCGAATGCCACCGGACAGGAATCCCCCCCATGCAGCAAGCGTAGAGACCTGAGCGTGAGATGCACAATGTCGTGAGGATGGGATTTGTTCCCCTATCAAGCTAGGGATGGGCGTCGGCACCATTCACAGGATATCAATCACCTTATTATCAACTTCCAGATCAATTGGTATTGATCATCAATTGCGCTATGCATCGGTTCTAGTGTGTTCTGCGTCAGATTCCACGCTTACCATTTTTCCACATGCTTGTGATATGATAATCCGGTCATCGAACCAGAGAGCAAAGGTACGTATTATGCAACAGATGCTGAGGACGAGGAGTGCGGAGGCTAATTATTGAGGGGTATTCTTTAGGTGGGTGCTAGCAGGTGGTTTAGGCATGTGAGTTAGTTACTTGGCTTCGTTTTGACATTCTTCACGTCTGACTTTGTGGCGCCACGCCGACAGAGTGTGGCATTTGTTAAACCTCGAAGGAGCTAGGCCCGGTCCAGCGAGGCGGAGAAAATGTCCATCGAAAATCATTACACTTGTTTTGTGCTTGAACTGGATGCTGGATGGGCTAGAACACGCCAAATTCATGTACGTATCTTATTGTTCATCAAATATAAATATAACTCAATGATTTGCGCTTTCGTGCTAGCACATGAATCGTGTTCAAGATGTAGCTCTCTTTAGCTAGAATCTTCTCTGTATATCGATATCGCAGTGCATAGTGGCCTGTGTGATTAGGTTCGTAGCCTCCGACTCAGTCACAGGGGCTTGCGCGATTTCGGATTTTTCCTGATGAGTGCAGTGCATTGCTGTCTGTCAATATCCTTATAGATCCTGATGGTACGACGACCCGAGGCAGATAGCCAGAAGTTGTGCATAAGGCGAGTGATGTTGAAGACGAGAACAAACGTCATGTGTTGAGATTTGTAAAACTAAAATTGATAGATTTGTAACAGAATAGAAGCGAGATCTTATATGGCGTTCAAAAACATTACAGGCGTCCTGCAGACGCCTTTGCAGCTTTACAACCGACATCAATCAATCAAGAGACTCTGGATCATTCCTTTCTACTTGATCTCATCCAAAATAACTTTCTTCTGTCATTCAATGCAGGAACGGGCATCGCCTCATGATGCCCGTTTCGTTGCTGGGCGGTGGTACATAATCCATGAACATCACCCCTATACGTCCACCAAGTTCGCTGCTTCCTCACACGCATCCTCTAGCATTATGACTCTAGTCTCAAATGATCCCAGTTTCTGGCCGGCCATTAATGCGTACCGTATTTCCAGCTATTTTTATGGTTCGTGGAGAGCCAGTCGGACAACAACAGCGATACTCGATCTAACGTTTCTCAGTTGCCGCCTCTGCTGGGGTCATGTACGATTGGGGTGAGCAAGATTGTTTTCAAGAATGGCTTATGTTCTTATGGTTTCTGCAGCCCTGACTTTTGGACAGGAGGTAGGTTGATGCCATTGTCGGAGCATCCATCTCACTCATGGTTTATATAGATTGAACTCGTCTGGGTGAGCAGAGTCACATATCATAAGAAACCAATGAAAATGCAATAAATTTTCTTTAGAGGCAACGCTGGTCACTCATGACCGCTCTGTATCTGAGTGTACGTAGCTTGTATTGTAAGTGTGCTCTGCAAGTCGGACTGACTTGAAAATATTTTAGGTCCGCTATCTTGGAATCTTTTTCGCTATGTATGTTTGGAATTCTGAGCAATTGCCATTGCACTAATCAACGATCCCCCACAATCAGCGGCCAGATGATAGGTATGTCTCCTGATATACGCCGTATTTTTATCCGGTTCACCGTGTTATGTCTTCTCACCGGTGGCTTACAGGGAGCATGTCGACAATATCGCTGACAGATTCAGTGCGTATCCTGAACCAATGCTCGCCATTCCCATCTTAACCCACTGCACTCCAATGCAGGGGTGAGTCTGATTCATGACCAGCTGGTGCAACATAATGACTGTCATAGCTGCGAGTTTCTTTTAAATTTGTGATCCTCCGAGGCTGATTACCACCTGTATTTGCCAGGCCTGATTATGTTTATCACACAAGATTGGATGGAATTCGTCGTGAATGCAATGCTGGGCGGTGAGCTACATATTTGCAATGTGTCAGTGATATTGACCTGACAGAACATTGCTCAAGTCATCATACTCACTCGGTTACACGCCATGTATCAACGATCCAGAAAGGTGCTGATACTTCTCGTTGTAGTCTACCTGACTGCCAATGTCACCAACGGAGTGATCAGGGTCATAACATCAATGGTGATTTCGGCGGGTAAGCTTTATTATGGATGACAGACTCGTGTGCACCAGGCTCATTGATGAATGCCAGAGGAGCTCATTCTCTCCGGCATCTATCTGTGCAATAGTCAGGACAATTTTGAAGGAAATCTCCAACTGCTGCCTCCCATTACTTGGATACTCGGCACTGTATGGGAGATCCTCGCACTTTGTCTCGCAATCTGGATTGCTGTAAAACACTTCCATGAATTGCGACGACAGTCGGCAGGAGGGATTGTCGGAGATTGTTTCACGGTGTTGATGAGGTCTCACGTGGTTTACTTTGCGAGGTGAGCTCACAATGCCAACGCGGTCTCCTTCCACTGAAGGTCTGCACCTCTTAGTTTTCTGGCTGTTTCTTGCTTCGAGATCGGCGCTGACTTGTCTCCAATGTTATTAGCGGTATGCCATTCTGTCATTGACATCTGATGTATCAGTTCATCATTTCTACAGAACCCATATTCCCTGGAAGCCCAGATGTATTATGGCTTAATGCAAATTTTCCTGATTGTGCAGATGTTTGTGCTAGGACCACGCTTGATCCTTAGCATTCGAGGATATAACGCCAACCTCGTGGCCGACTCTGACGCAGCAACCGCCATGACTTCAATTGTTTTCCAAGAGCGCGTACATGTGCCAACTAGCAGCAGCGTGTAGGACGGGAAATGCTCGAGGTTATTACCACTGGGGTACTCTCGGTGAGGTGCTATGTGAGCAGCGGGAAAGGTTTCTTTTGGTTCCAAATTTCGTCGCCGTACTTATTTATGCAAGTTAGGGATCATAGAACAAGCATCACGTACGGTCGCCACCCCGTCTCATGTCTAATTTATGTAGTCCACGATTGCAGGGACTTTCTGACAGGGCGAAGCGTTTTTAAATTTGTCTGTAGTGTAACGTGTACAATTAGTATATAGTGTTTTGGCTCATTTATATGATACCTCTTACCTCCTGAATAGCCACACACAAGAACTAAGCAGTTCCAGCTCCGTCTCTTTCTTGATGCCATGTTGCCGGGTCTCGTGAGGTCTCGTGGCGGTGCTAAGAACTTAACGACTCAAGCTGTGTCAAGCTACAGTGTGTTGCAAATGACTTTAGAATCTCGTTTTCAAAATTGTGTTTGTTCCTTTGTTTTGACGTGTGACTTGTGTCACACTTGGTCAATCATTCCGGTTTTCACGCCACTGCCAGCCAGGCTAGATTATCTGATGATCAACTAGAGTTTGCACATTTTAAAACATCTGTATCTCTACAACACATCCACATAAAAATATAATTTCTTGACGGATAGATAGCCTGATATTGAAAGTACAAGACCCGCTGGTTTTTTCTTTCAAAATTGACGTGTTGAGTCCAGCGGAGAGTTACCGCGCAGAAAAGTGTGATTTTCCCTAAGTATGTAGATTCAGACTAGAGCCGATGCGCGAACAGATTAAAATATTTAATATTTAGCATCTCTGATCACTCCTGAATTCAATTCAGAATGCGCCAGAATATGAACAATGGAAAACTGTTGGAATTTTCTTAGAAAACTAGCTCAATGTTTTGCAAAATCACGCGAGTATGGCCAGAGTTACACAAAATCGTTGCGGACAAGGCCATATATTATAATTATTTAGTATTGACAGTATTGACAGAGGGAGTGCCGTTAAGTTCAGATTGAAGATACGAGTGTCAGAGTGCAATTGATACACCCTGAGGTGGAGGAGACAATATTTTCGAGTCGTTGATGTGACAGAAAGTCCCGCATTTGGCTATTACGAACTATTTTACAAACACCGAGCTCGCAAAAAAATTCTCGTGCATTCTAAAGTCATTTGCAACACACTGTAAAATTACGAAGCTCATCCCGGGTCACGGGAGCCTCGTGTATGTCCGGGGGCCACCGCCTTAGAAAATGCTTGGAATGTTTTTGAACTATGGATGTCGATGAGATGACAGCGTTATTTTGCTGAGGACCGGATGATCTCCCTTGAAGCAATAAGACAGGTACCTTTTCTCCGACACAGTTTTCGGGGTCCAACCTTCACTGAATAAAATGTAAGTAACGTTTTGGTAACGATACACTTCCTGAAAGATAGAGAGCCGATCTATTTTGGAATGCTAACAGCTGCAGATCACACCGCACTCAAGTATGTTCTGGCATTCAATCCACTCTTACTTCACTTACTTTTCGCTCCACAATATTCAGGATCTCAGTGACAAACACGTTCAATTCTAGGCCTACCACTAGAGTCGGTGACAAAACACCTCTTTAGTTGATCCCAACACAACAATTGGCAGCTATGGGAATCATGTCAAGACAATCTTGACATTCAGAGCGATTCTGTTGCCGCCCAATCAACGCGTGTAACATACCGTTCATTGGACCCCTTCTTATCGTTCTTCAAGTTCACCCACCAGCAAAAAAATTTCTCTAGTTTTTGTGCTCGGCCCATGATGATCATTCGCGGAAAACACATTCGCATGTTCATCTCCTGGCTGAGGCACATTGTCAAGACAATCACATTTCGGTCGTACAGGAATCTCCTCTCTGTCATCCTACGACTGATTCAACACTGTCAATCTGTCGTGAATGGAAAGGAGGGGGATTTTCAAGAACTGCCCGGTTTAGCAATGAGCTCTCAGCCAGCGACCAACCAATTCGAGCCGAGGCCTCCTGTGAGCCTCGCAGTACCGTTGCTTGAGGCACCTCTACAGAGTCTACACAGCCAAGGGTCCCAGCCTGGAATGAACATTCAGAATATTCAGATGCCAACTCCCAGTCTGTATGGAGGGTTGAATGATGCAGCTTTCAGTACAGACTCTCCCCCGAACTCTTTTGCACCATTGATGCCGAGATCTATCATCGATCTCAGCATCACTGAAGTAGGTGTCACCACTGTAAGAATGACACAATAATATTCACGCGGATCTGTAAGGAACAGATACTCAGTCGTTGCGTGAATGC